TCTAAGGTCCCATAAAAAGTCTGATAAGGGTCACTTGCCCTGTTTCATTTCCATTAATTTGTCCTCATTTTCTGCCACCCTATCTGGATTTTCAAATTGGAATCTCAGCAAATGAATAAAAGCATGGATATCCTGTGGCTCTGGAGCTTGTTCATAGTGCAGTTGGGCCACCCAGTCAGAAGCAGCCCCTTCATTCATCCGATCTGTTATTGCAGTAACCAGATCACATTCGGTTACATATTGGTCTCCAAATTGGTCTATGTGAGACCAGATTTGAGTGAGGAAATAAGCAAGATGTTCATGGTGTTTATCAAAATTGGCCTTGAACTGCATCTAGTCTGGTCTGGGGGGGGGGAGGGGGTATTGCCCTGGCAACTGTAGGCTGAACTGGAACGAAAGGGCCTGTATCCACTTTGGAAGGGTCTTCCAAGGCCTGGCTGGGTTGGGGCTCTCTGGAAGAAGGCAGGGTTGCTCTGAGTGGGGGCCGATCAGGAGCTTGCCAAGAAGAGCCCAATTGTTGCCCTATTCCCTGCATGAGGAAAGGGAAGGGTGGCTGCCTCTTGCTGCCTGTACAGATCCCTTTGTTGGGAAGGGATTGCTGAATCTCTCTGGAGCCAGGACATTGCTGGCGCTAGCATCCACTGGTACTGGATCCACCCTTCACCAGGATAAAATCCCCACCCTGGAGGGATACTTTCTGCAGGGGGTAACTTCCCTTCTGGGTGTGTGTGGGGGAAGACTTGGAGGTTGCAACGTATCTGTTGTAGTCTGCGTCTCTTGTCTCTCCCTTGAAATTTGATCCTGTTGGCCTTCCGATGTAATTGGAGCTCCACACCTCCAATTTGCCTCCTTTGCAGTATGTAAAGGGCTTGAGGGAATGATTTCTCCAGGCAGCTTTTTCTCTGGTCCTGTCTGACAACTTTCCCATGAATCTGTTCCTTCGGGCCAGGCTGCTAAATCTTTTCTCTCTTCCGCATGCCTTAACTCCTCCAAAGGGAAGCTGGGATTCAATTAATCTTCCAGTGCCCCCCCCCCAATGCCCTCTGTTTCACCTCCCGTGTTGGCTGATTCTTCAGATTGCTCCATTGTCGGAATAAATCCTGGGGTTCAGCAACCCCTGATAGCTCCCCTCTTGGGAGTGCTAAAGTTGTTTCAGATTAGTGTCAGCGTTCCAGGGAAAATCCATTCCTGTCAGTGACTCCAAGACACACGTCATCTCAAAGTATTTTTATTAGAACAGTATCTGGAATATACTGTGGAAATCTGTAACTAAATCTTCCCAGCTTCTCCACAAAATCCCATCCTACAAATCACCTCCTTTTTCCTCATCACCACAGCACCAATCCCAAAGTCAGTTCTAATTCTTTCTGTGCCATACTCTGTAACCTTGAACTATCAAAAAAAAATATTTTGTCTACTCAATAAACATCACCCCCTCCCACTTTCTCCAACTATGTGGCAGTGATGAATTCCATAGCTGACACCCACAGCTCTGTAAAGCCAACACCAAAGAAGTAGGTATTCAGGTGAACCCACAGTGCAATGCTCGCTTGGATCTCGGCCACTCCAGGCCATCCAACCTCAAAGCCCCTTGGGGCGGGCTGAGCCAGGAGCCACCACTCCCAGGCTTCTACTCACCCATGCTTGGTTGCCACCTCTTCACCTTGCCAAAGCAGCTGGCCCTGCCCCTCACCCTCCCCTCCCTTGCCTGGCCTGGAAGGTAAAGGCGACAGCAGGGAATAGCGAAGAGAGAGGAAGAGAAGGATTGCCTGAAGGGATGCTTCCATTGTGGCTGGTGATTGTTGTTCAGCCAGTTTGGATTCCAAAAAGAAGAAATGAAAGAAGTAGCGAAAAACTCCAAGGGAAGCTTGTGGACTAGGCCCAGCTGCGACTTTGAGGGACACACACACACACACACACACACACACACACACACACAGAGTGGGGGACAATAGGAAGGGGGCAGAGAGAGAGAGAGAGACAGAGAAAGATACAGAGAGGGGAGAGAGAGAGTCATAGAGAGAGACACAGAGAGAGGGGAGGAGAGAGGGGGGAAAGAGAGAGAATAAGAGAAGGAAAGAGAAAAAGAGGGAATGAGAGAGAGAGAAGAAAGAAAAGAGAAAGAAAAGAGAAAGAAAGTAAAAAGAGAAAGGAAGTGAAAGGAAGAAAAGGGATAGACAAAGAAAGGGAGAGATGGAAGGAAGGGACAAAGAAAGAAAAAGAAAGAGAGCGAGGGAGGAGAAAGTGAATGAGATATATGGATGAATAGATAAATACAGGGAGGAAGGGAGGGAAAGAGAAAAAAAGGAGAGGAAGGAAGGACACAAACCCTGGCTTCAGAAGACTCTGAAACAGCACAGCAGTCTAGGGCTGGGAGGGATCTTGGAGGTCATCTTCTAGTCCTACCCCCTGCTCCAGCAAGTGATCCTTACAGAATCATAGAATAGGACAGTTAGGAGTGTGTGTGTGTGTGTGTGTGTGTGTGTGTGTGTTTGTTTCAGGTGGGTCTTTAGAAGGAGAGAGGAAAGGAGGAAGGGAAGGGACAGAAAGAGAGAGAGAGAAAGAGAGAGGGAGGGAGAGGGGGGGGAGAGAGAGAAAGAGGGAGAGAAAGAGAGAGAGGGAAAGAGCAAGAAAGAGAGCGAGAAAAAGAGAAAGAGCAAGAAAGAAAGAGGAAGGGAGAGAAAGAAAGAAAGAGAGAGAGAGAGAAAGAGGAAGAAAGAAAGAGGAAGGGAGAGAAAGAAAGAGAGAGTGAAAGAAAGAGAGGGAGAAAGTGAATGAGATATATGGATGGATAGATAAATACATGGAAGGAGGGAGGGAGGGAGAGAGAAAAAAAGGAGAGGAAGGAAGGACACAAACCCTGGCTTCAGAAGGGTCTTTGAAGCAGCACAGCAATCTAAGGCTGGCCTGCAAGGGATCTCAGAGGTCATCTAGTCCAACCCCCTCCTCCAGCAGGAGATCCTTACAGAATCATAGAATAGCAGGGTTAGAAGTGTGTGTGTGTGTGTGCGCATGGCTGTCAAAACTCCCAAAACAGGTCAAGTAACTCTGGGAAGATCAGTCATAAATTAGAACACTTGCTAAGCCAACTGGGCATTAAGTAAGGACCACTTGTAGTTGGTTTGCCAGTCACATGGCCCCCTGGCCATGTCCACCCACTCACATGACCAAGCCATGCCCACCCAGTCATGTGACTATCAAGCCACACCCACACATTAAGCCACACCCACAGAACCGGTTGCTACAAAATTTGAATCCCACCCGTTGATAGCCATAAAAATGTAATTTGGCATGAATTGTCTGACACCAGGGACTGGAAAAAAAACTTATGCCAACAAGACAAGATGAAAAGCTAGGCAGAAGTTTCTATTTTAAGTAAGTTAGCTTTCCAATGAAGGACGTGTTCAAAATGCAAATAAGTTCTTGAAAAATTCCTCTCAAAAATTTGGATTGAATTATTTCCAAATAAATGAGTTCCAAAAAAGAAGCTGGGCTTGAATCATACCCAAGGAGATTTTAATCATTGCATCTATATGCTGAAATTCTTTGGAGAAATTGAAGGCTTGTAAAGACAACACTGGTTTTTGTATGTGTGCATTTAAAGTCAGTATGAAATTTACTGCTGCTCATAGCATGGAAAAAAATCTCCAGATATTTAACAATCTTGACTTGTTTTTTTAAATGGTTATGTAATTGCCAGACATGTGCCATTAGGGCACTTAACAAAAACAATGATCTTGGTTTTAGAGTAATTAATTTCCACCTGTTCTTTTTAGAGTGCTTAGCCAGTATACAAAGCACCCCTTTCAGAATAATTATGTTGGATAAAACAGCATGACATCATATGAATACAGAAGAACAGAAATGTCTCTATTTCCCAATTCTGACAGGTGAAAAGATGGGCTATTCAGTTTGTCTATAACAGTTAATTTCTTTGGTCTAGTGTCCTTGGACACTATATCACAACTACATCTGGGAGATTTTATATAACTTATACATTAAAAAGTATTTTTTGGAGTATAAGATGCTCCGAAGTATAAGATGCACCTAGCTTTTGGGGAGGAAAACAAGAAAAAAAGATCTGCCTCTGCCTCCCAGCAATTTGCTTCCTTGCAGCAAATAGCAAACAGCCTGTTTCAGCTTCAGCACAGCTTGATTAGCACAAGCAGATGATTGTTGCTTGGATCGGCCTCCCAACTATCAGCTGTTTCAGGCTGCAGGGATTGCAATTGCCTATTGCTGCCTTGCACACCCCATTTTCAGCCTCCACATCCCATTTTCAGTTTCCGCGTGCCCCATTTTTGACCTCTGTGTGTCTCATTTTCAGATGGTGGGAATTAGAATAGGCAGAAAACGGGGCGTGCGGAGGCCAAAAATGGGGTGCGTGGAGGCTGAAAATGGGGCATGCAGAGGCAGCAATAGGCAATGGCAAGCCCTGCAGCCTGAAACAGCTGATGGCCGGGAGGCTGATCAAACTGATAATCAGGTGCTTGTGCTAATCAGGCTGTATTGAAGCTGAAACAGGCTGTTTGCTGTTTGCTGCAAGGAAGCAAATTGTTGGGAGGCAGAGGCCAAAGGATGAGGACTAGCAGATGGGTGGGCTTCAGCAACATTCACTGTATAAGATGATAGACATTTCCACCCACTTTTGGGGGTGAAAAAGTGTGTCTTATACTCTGAAAAATATGGTAATCAATTGAAGAAGAGTTCAATTTCTCTCATAGTTTGGATCCAAATATAACATCAAAAGCATATCTAAATGCTCGGTGTGTGAGCTCTTGAGGAGTACTTTTTAACTAGACACCGTGTTTTTATAGGGAAAAATGGGAAGAGTGAGTTAAGTCCTTTAAAATGGTGTTTTTTTGAAAAAAATAAAATATATAAAGCACTAAAATGACTCCTTTTTTTCTATAGAGAAAAGATCATCCTATGCCAGCAAGAACAATCTTGCCTTTTTTTTCACTCTATGCATCCTTATTTCTTTCTTGGCCATGGCTTACCTCTGCTTGCCAGATGGGATTGACAGTGTTACACATAATCTTGGATCTTTTTTCCTGTCCATGGTGTGGAAGAGCTGGGAAGATGCTATGCTTTCCAGGCTGGATTGAAATTTTAAGGTAAGGATCCGGATTGAAGAACATGCCTTTCTTCAAACCAAAAGCTTGGAAATCTGCAAAATATTAGATATCCATATTAGCATTATTCTATATTCTGTTTAACTATTAGTTATATTTATCATTTGAACAATTTAATTCTGTATCAAATTAAATAAATACAGGTGGTCCATGTTTAGTGACATAATTGGGATTGGCAATTCAGTCATTAAGCAAAGTGGTCACTAAGTGAAACCACAACTGTGCTTATGATCTTATTTCAGCTTTCCTTTGCTGTATAGATCAGCAAAGGTTTTTAATCTAAGGATTGATCATAGAATTACTTTTTCATCATTGTTGCTAAATGAAGACTTTCTCTAAGAATAGAATAGAATAGAACAGAACAGAATAGAATAGAATAGAATAGAATAGAATAGAATAGAATACTGCATTGGCCAAGGGTGATTGAACACAAAAGGAATTTGTCTCCAGTGCATAAGCTCTCACTAGGCATACAAACAACAAAATAATATAATCATAAGATACCAATAAGACAAGGGAGAAGAAATGAGAAGGATAATAGTAATATAGCCTTACTAAATTGGAAATATCCTTAGACATAAGAGAGTGTTGTGGGAATTCTGTGTGTTAGCAGAGTGATTAGCACAAGGGAAAAATTGTCTTTGTGTCTAGTTGTTTTGGTATGCATCCTGAAGGGAGGAGAGGAAGCAGTTTATGTCCAGGATGTGAGGAGTCTGTAGATATTTTGTCAGCCCTCTTCCTGACACATGCAGTATATAGGTCATCAATGGAAGGCAGGCTGGTTGAAATGTTTCCTTCTGCAATCCTAACTATTCCATTAAAGTCTGCACCTGTCCTGTTTGATTGTTGTACCAAACCAGACAGTTATAGAAGAACAAATGACATACTCAATAATTTCTCTGTAGAACCGTATCAACACCTTTGATAACTACACGAGATTCAAAGCCAGTGAATTAAGTTTTGATTATTACTGAGATGTAACTGAATAAAAGCATATTAAAAACCATGGTATTCACAATATACTCAATCGGGGCAGAAGGTCTGATGAAAATAGAAGGGGCAAAGATGCTTCAAATGCTGAAAGAATAAAAAGAATAAAACGAATGTGGCAGCCAAGGATGAAGCTATGTAAGAAAATAGGAAAAAAAAATATGTTCAGTGATACAAATCCAGAATAAAAAATATTTCGATAAATTGAATCCTGAAGAATCTTGAAAAAGTCTTCCATGGCTTCTCGAATAACTTTATAGAAAGGAGACAAGAATGAAAAATGCAGCTTCCTTTCCCTATCCTGAGGCTCTGGACTGGCTTAAACTTCATTATGGCTAATAGAAGAATGTAAATAGGAGACTGAACATGAGCCACATTGGATATGAATGATGGGAACCAAATCATGATAAGTGAAGTTGTCAGATACTCCTGCTATAGACTGAAACATTTGGGTAATCAATATACAAAAAAGTGGAGTGCTGTCCACTTCTAAAATACACTTCTGAATCAAACAGGATGAAGACACCTGTTAAAATTCTCTATAAATATTTTTCAATGCAATCTATTGATGATGAGAATTATTATATTATACATCATTTCTGGTTGTTTATAAATGAAAGGCCTTTGCACAGGTAGTATATATCAATCTGTTTGAAAATGACAGCCAAATTTTAAAACAAATGAGAACATAAGAAAAAACACAGATCAATTTTTGGAAGTTAATCTTTAAAATGATGTAGTTAGAGACACAATAATAATTAGCACATTAGAGAGACACATATGTATGTATTATGCATGTGTGTTCATTTGGAGATAGAGCAAGTTACTATTTTTTAATATAATTATATAATATATAGCAGAATAGGGACAATGGCATAATTAAGGAAAATAACTTTTAGACACACACACAAAAACCCTGAGACTACAACCTCCACAATTTCTAATCAGCATATATTCCAGATGTCACTCAACATACAGGATGATTCCAAATGGATAAAGTTGGGCTTTATATTGACTAATTAACTTGTATGAAGTTAAGAGAGCTAATTCTAAAGAATAATATACACTAACTATGAAACATGTATAACAAAAAGAGTGATACAAAGAGTGTTATTTTATTAAAAGTTTCAGTAATTTTTTTGTCATAATACTTAAAGCTCAACAAGACTGGTCTAATCTAAATACAATAATCCCAGATAAAACCCCTCTCCATCTACATGGAGTAGATATCTGATGAGAACCTTGCAGAATGATTAGTTTACAATGTAACAACATTATTTACTGAAATAAGAGGAATAAATATACCATAAGATACAAATACACTTTTGGGGGGAAAGTGGAGAACAAATTAACCTCGGGATCCTGGTGATATTTCACTTATACATTAAAAAGGAGGAAATATTTTAATGTTTTAATGCTATTGCTAACAGATTTGGCTGTTTATAACTGTTTTCAGAAATAATAAAACAATTATAATTAACTGGTTTTTAAGCTAGGGAAAAATGCTGAGAAGAATGACTGTTTAGATCTTTAAAGTAATTTTCAAAACTTGCATTCCGAGAAGGTGCAGCAATTTCTTATTAAGAAGTCCAGGAAATACTCTGGCTTCCCTGAAAGGCAGCTTATTTACCACCATCATTTTTTGCTCTACAAAAGCTGAGCTAGAAATGAGACCTCACCAGACAGATTAAAAAAAAAGGAAAGAGAGGATGTGTTTCTTAGCAGACAAAACCTAATGGGATGGAAAGCAGGAAAATCATTGTCTTAGATCAATCTCTCAAAGAGATTTGCTGTGGAGCCATAAATATTTCATCTAACAACAGTACTTTCTCGCTATTAATTAACTATTATTTATCATAATAATTATTTTCTACTCTTCCAAATCTTTAAAGCCATATGGTGTGGCTCCTAATCAGTTAAAAGGGAATGTTTTTCAATAATTTAAATCTACCATAATGCTTTACTAGTGACATCTCAAAGAATGTGATATAGTTTACCATATTTGCACATTTTTATGATGCTTATAAGCACATATCTTTTGTATTTTATTTAATAATTTCTAAGGCAGTGATAAATAAATTAATATTAGGCAAGGAGACACAATAAGAAGATTGATACAATAAAGAATAAAATAAAATATCTAAATTATGGTTCAGGGAGGTTGACAGGCAAGAACAGATACTGCTGTATGCTGAAAAAATATTGGCGGCAGCATAATCTTAAAATTCTAGTATAACAATAGCAATAGCACTTAGACTTATATACTGCTTTATAGTACTTTACAGCCCTCTCTAAATGGTTTATAGAGTCAGCATATTGCCCTCAACAAACTGGGTCCTCATTTTACCCACCTCAGAAGGATGGAAGGGTGAGTAAACCTTGAGCCTGGTAGGATTTGATCTGCCAAATTGCAGGCAGCTGGCTGTCAGCAGAAGTAGTTTGCACTACTGCACTCTAACCACTGCACCACCGAGGCTTTAACTATGCATTAACTATGCCTTCTCCTTAGAAGACAATGAAAACTTGAAAAAGATGCCCATACTCACATAACTACTATGTAAAACTGAACAATGTTTACCTTACTGTTGATGAGAAATAATAAAATATTTCCACTTCTTTAATATATAACTGAAATATTACCAGGACCCCAAGTTTAATTTATTGTCTATCTTTGCCACAAAACTACATTTGCATCTTAAAGACTTTCTCTGGATTTTTTTTAAACTTTCCTCTTATTTTAGTAAATAATGTTACAGTATAAACTAATCATTCTGCAAGGTGCTAATCAGATATCTGCTCTGGGTTCTCTCTTATTCGTAAATAGGTGGCAATAAAAGAGAGGGGTTTATTCTTGTAATATTGTATTCACATTCAATTTTATTGAACTTAGGTGTCATGACAAAAATAATTCACTGGAACTTTTAATAAGATAAGGCATATTAGAGAAAAACATACCTGAAAGGGAGAAACTGATCAGCCTTCTGCTTCCATGCCCCTGGCCTGAATCTTCACTAGTAATGTTTTTAAAAATCTGTAATGAAGAGAAAAATGTCAAAAAGATCAATACTTTTTTCTAGAGTAATATTAGGTAACAACTTAATCCAAGAAGCATAATCAAGAAGAAATCAATGATAATCATTCATTAAGCAACTATTGATTAAAACACTTCTGATAAATCCATGCTTTCAATGTAAAGAGGAAATAGAAGCCACAGAAGAGCTTCAACCCATAGAAGTTTGGAAGGCAAGGTAAAGAATTACTATAATTTTATGCCTTTGGAGAAGGAACTTCTCTTATCTTTACAAATCACAAATACTTATTACAATAAGTTAAATAACTGTCACACCAGTGCGGATTTTGCACTCATTACTAGGCTTGAGAACAATGGTACTGTTTATAGAAATGAAATATAATCTCCTGTATGTCAAACAAAATATCTAATTCATGTATTTCACCATAAAGACTAAAATGAGGTTTACTGCACCCAGTTGCATATCCTGAATAATTTTTCTTATTATTTGTGCCTAAAGCGCCAGATGTACACAGTTCTAGCTGTCCAGCATCTGATGATCTGAACAGGAAAGTTGTAGGTAATTCCAACAAAAGCATATCTCCAGCCTGGGATGTCATCTATTGAATAGGCAACTTTAAAGAGGGGTGCGGGGAGGGAGAAAGCCATTCAGTTGTCAAACCAGCAATCTAACTGCACCTTACCTGTTAGGATAGTGTGGCAAATTTCACTGGATTTGCTTTGTTTGACTCAATTTGTATCACATGTTGCTATTATTTGTTCTCAACAGACCTGCTTGTATAGCATTTTCTTATGTTTTTTTTCCCAACCATCCAACGAAGTGTAAATAAGCCCATCAAAATCAGCATTCAAAAAATTGGTTTCCATATGGGTTTCTTCAGTGCTAAAGAATTTATAAAATAAGGAGGAGCAAGCAGTACCTTTTCCAACTAACACAGGAATGGAGGAATAAAGAAGGAATAAAGAAATAAGCTGTTGTTTACAAAAGCTTTTGCCTTTTAATAATATTCAGAAAAAATGTTACTGGATTCCTTCTGATTTTTTTGGCTACCAGTCTAAAAATGTTATGCTCCTTATAATGTTTATAAAATCTCATTACCTATTTTGGCCACACTTTTTCTTACAATTATGTCCGCTAAGTAGGTAAGCAGTTATCAAGTTGGATCATGTTCTACTATAACCAAGCATTTTTGTCATATTCTTTGCAAGACCAATGACAATCATCATTAATATAGGTTTGTGCCAACCACATTTTTTACTTCTTGTGACTAGAGAATTTCTTCTCTAAGCAGGTCAGCCCTAATTTGTATTTTAGGAGGGAATTCCACCTGGGATTTCTAGATTTATCATCTTGACTGAGAATTTGTTTTGTGGGGGTAGGAGGAGAATCATGGAAAAGGATAATGACAAACACTTTAATTACACTGGTAAGAAAACCCCATGAACATAAACACCAGGAACTAAGCTCTCAATTCAAGGGCATTTTTACCATTAGTCTATAAGTAATCAAGATGCAAGTGATTCATCTAGATTTTAAATAAAATTTTTGGATGGTATTTTAAAACGTAAAAAATAAAGAGATCTTTTTTCTGGAGCAGTTCTGTATTAATAACCTGACAGAAATATTGATCTGTGTTGGGAGAGGAAAACAATACACTTCGTTTTACTTGATTTGAAGTCAAAGTAAGATTTGAAACTAATAACACACAGAATTCTCTTTCATTAATCTTGTCTTTATTAATACATGTTGTATGGTTTATTAATATCTACATTACATGTTGTGAGTTTTGTTTACATTTGTTCTTTATAGGTACATGTTGTGAGTTTTGTTTACATTTGTTCTTTATAGGTACATTGTTTTGTGTTTATTATTTCGGGGTGTATGGGGTGTTCACCACTGGTAGCACCACTGGTATAGGAGCAGGTTGTGTCCTCTCCCCACCTGTCACTCAGCTGTCATCTGTGGCTCCTAGTAGCTGTAGCATGCACAGCGGCCACAACCCGGACAACAGTTTCAACAGGCTGACCAAACCAGGTTGAAAGTAGCCATTGGGTCATTGACATTTGATGAGATAGGAATTTGTCTATCCCGAGCATAGGAAGAGAGATTCTGGCAGATTGAGCAGATGAAACCTATTAGAATAGGACAATGGTCATGAGGGCGGTCCCCACATATGATGTGTTATGCTAAGACCACATCAAAACATGAAAGGCACCCTGGTCAACCACTGCACCCAACCATCTCCAACTGCCTTGACTCTTGTCCTGCCATTGGAGCAAGATGGAATCTAGGAAGAGAGAGTGAGGTTGACTAGGCACACCTTGCCCTCACTTTAATCGAATTCATGTGCAAGTCTTGACATCCCCCAACTCCTGTAAACCTTCAAAATCCTATGGCGATGGGCGAGCGATGAATCAGCAGGTCTGGATAAAGTGGGAGCTGTAGCCATGGACCTGCACACGGGCAGCTCAGGTCTAATGGCTGTCTCCTTGCTGACCAAAGCAACAGCTGGATTCAGCATCTACTTGAGTGACCTCTTTAGGATAGCACTTTTCTAGCTGCTTCCTCTTCCATAATAAGAGGAAAGAACTAGAAAAGGTGCCCTAAATATTGTAGAACCTTGGCCAGCTTACCACGGCTGGAGGGCATCCCATTTCATGTGATTAAATAACAAAACTTCAAAGAAAATATAAGTGACACCATTCACTATTGGCACATGTACTTCAAGACAACTCCTCAGCAGATTGACCAGAAAGAAGAACAGCCCATGTCACCAAAGAGCTTACAAGATTTAACATTGGTATTGCAGCCCTGTGTGAAACTTGTCTAGCCAATGAAGGTCAGCTCATAGAAATGGAGGTGGTTACATAATCTTCTGGTGTGGAAGCATCAGCAACAAACACTGTGAATCTGAAGTGGGCTTTGTGGTTAAGAAACGCCTACAAACTTGCCAGATTTCCTAAGGGCGTGAATGACTGACTCATGTCACTGCATCTCCCATTACCGAGAAGAAAACAAGCCACAATGATCAGTGCTTATGCACCCACAATGACGAATCTAGATGAAGTAAAGGACAAGTTTTATGAAGATCTTGATGCCCTACTTTCAATTGACAGGTTGATTTTACTTGGCGATTTCAACGTGAGAGTAAGAGCTATTCATTCTACCTGGGATGGCATCATTGGAAAAAATTGAATCAGCAAAATGTAACACCAATGGCCTATTACTACTGAAGACATGTGCAGCTCATGATCACCAATACCATCTTTCAACTGCCCACTCACAAAAAGATGTCCTAGATGCACGCACACTCCAAGCACTGGCATCTTATTGATTATGTCATTGTGAGGAGGAAAGACACACAGATTTTGTTCTAGGAATATTTAAAATTATGATAAAGCTGTTTGTTTCCTCACTTCGGATCTCCCCCCATGTCAGGTGGTGCTCCATTCAAAATTCCAGAAAGAAAAACTTAGACTCCTTGCCATCACTCCTCCTTTTGGAGGCTTAGGGCCTCTTGGAAGCGTGGGGGGGACGGCTTGCTCCATCCAGAGCCCCCCCTGCATCTGCTTCAGGTCAAATCTATCTCCACTTCTTCTGCCAGCAAGTACCACAGTTGCAAATCATTAGGATCCCTTCTGGAAATACACATCTGGTATACGTCTTCATTTAGACCATCTTTGTAGGCTTCTATCAGGGCTCCCTGGGACCAGCCTTGGATATGGCACGCCAGCTGTCTAAACTCTTGGGTGTAGTCGGCCACTGACCTCCTCCCCTGATTTATGGTTTTCATCCTGATCCTGGCCTGTCTCTCCGCCAGTGGGTCCTCAAATCTTGCCCGCAACGCAGTCATGAATACATTGTAATTCCGCAGTTGGGGGGAGTTATCATTATGCAAAGTCACCATCCACTCTGCTGCTATCCCCTCCAGGGCCCTGGTAACACATCTCACTTTGGCTGCTTCAGAGGTGAACTCTTCCCCATGTTCCTCCATATAGCTCCAAACTTGTGCTAGGAAGAAACCCAAGTCTTTGGGATTTCCCCCAAATTTCACTTCTAACGGAGGCAGCTTGAGAGCTCTGCATCTTCTAGGGATCATACCTCCCGCTGGGGGCCCTGGGGGTGCAGCTGGTTGCTGTGCTGGTGCAGGCTGAACTATGGGAGTGGGGGCAGCCTGGCTGTCTCTGGCTGAACTTGCTCCCACTTCCCCTTCATACCTTGGAGCGACGTGAGGCTGTCCAAAAGCTTCATTAAGGAACTGCCTGGCTTGATCCAGCAAAAATTTTCTCCTTTCCTTCTCTTGCCATGGCTCTTCTCTCCCACGCCTTTGGGTCGTGGTGATTCCAGGAGGGGGGGGCTCTTCGGGATCCCTCCAGCCAACACCCAACGACCATCTGGGCCTCTCAGCTGGAACTTCCTCCAGAGTAAGGTCGGCTAGCAATTCGGCTGCTGTCATCTCCGGTATCAGCAAGGACTGCCCCCACACAGCTCCCAGGTCCTCCTCATCACTAGCTGGAGATGACATGATATCAAACCCCCTCGGAAGAAAACTGGATATTTTCTCCGGGTGGGCTGGTGATGTGATTCAGAATAATGTCAGGTGGTGCTCCATTCAAAATTCAAGAAAGAAAAACTTAGACTCCTTAGATTAGAGCAAAGAAATCTTTTACTGAAAATGAAGTGGTAGCATCAAGTAGAATTCTGAATGTAAGAAATTAGGCGCGCAGACCACATATACAAAGTGTTGAAAACGTTCCCACCCCTCATAGTTCAAATGAGTCTTCCAATTAAGTTGTGAATAGGATCATGTGAGCATCTTCAGGTGGTGATGAGGCCTCTGTCCATTGACCTTGACATATTTTGATAAAGATTTGCAGCTGTGCAGAGAAAAGAAAGCTAAGCGAGGAATGGAAAGTTAAGAGCAGGAATTTATACTCCCCCCCACTCCTTATTTACACAACACAAGAATGTAACATCTCCAGCTCTCTTCCCAGACATA